CCTAGTAGGCCATTTGAGAACTGCACTAGCTGACAAGAGCACTGAACATTATCAGCTAAAGCCAAAACCAAATAAAGGCCCAGAACAAACATCCCAGCTCTCTAAAACCTGTCCACAATCATTAAGGGAAAGACAGTAAATGCAGGACTGTGGATCGTGTCAGTGCAGCTGACAATGATTAACAATAGAAAACATGCAACCCCCATTAAGGTTATAAGTCCAAAACTAGTCACACGCATCTATCTCTATTGGGGGAAAGTGAGACTATTATACATTCTTTGTAGGTTTTGCAAACTTGTGTGAAAAGCACCCATTGCATTTCTTTCATCTTTCAGAAAGCACCTGTATCTGGTTCCAAGGGCCTAACAGTACGAAAATGCATTCTGGCATCACACCTCTGAACATAAGACCATTCTCATTATAAAGAATAATTCTGATTTGTAGCAAAGATTATGAAATACAATGCAAGCACCTCAGTAGTGTTATTATTGAAACCCATTTGCTCCCAGGTTTTTGACTGAGTGGTTTTTTTTAAGACCCTCTACACTAAGATTTACGAATTATAGCTACGTACAAATCAAAACTAGTAAGAATCGACCTAAGTCACAGGTTTCTCATTTGAAAGTGCAAAAGCCTATTCATCTTAAAATAAGCGGAATGAAGCAAAATTAACCCCCCACCCCAATGATGTTCCTGAAGTCCATATTACAACAAGTACATTCTTTCAAAATTATTGACTGTTAAGAAATAAACCTGAGCTTTCATTTCTAAGCACTCAATCCCTAAATCACGGCAGCAAGTGCTGGCCACCGATTTAATGGATTATGCCACAGGAAAACCCCATCAGGGTTGTATGCCAATTTAGTGACACTCGTCACTAATACCTAGCATTAAGTTTGTTTTGCATTAAATTATTCATAGAGAGAGCTAATCACCATTTGCTCTTTCATCTAGCAGGAGAGTCAAGTTATTTGCCTGAATGGACTACATTTTAAAGTACAAATCTATCCCCACCTTGTGAATTGCTTGCTAAAGAGCAATCCACTTTTCTTGATACAACGGAAGAAAATTCTCATATTTGTGAAGAGTTTTCACACATTTATGCAAAGTAAACCAAACTTTCCAGTTACAGAGCAGAAAGCATTATACATGAATGCTGTTTCTCATGCACAGCTAAACACCAGTTCAGAGACCAGAGTTAGTTGAGTTGAGGTCTGGAACAATAGTCGATGCAAAGCTTAAGTCCTAAGCAACAAAAGAAGGTGTTTTTGAAGACTTTTGGTAATTAACATTTTAGATTATAACGTCACATCCCTAAAGCTAAGGGAACCAAATTCAAAAAGCTACTCTGAACATTTGCAGTTACCCTACAGAATACGACGAAGTCTTATGATTGGGAAATGATTCCCAACATATATTCAACTGTAGGCAAATCAATGTGCCACACCAATTTCCCCCAGGTTTAGAGTATAGACATTATTTTAGTAAAATCACGTAACTCGAACTATTCACATTAGATTCCCATCTAAGCCCAAGTTAGTAACAAAGGTGTTTTCCATGGAGCTCATTTTAAAAAATATTTTAATCACATTATACAAAAATCTACTTTTACTTTTAGTGTTAATTCACTCAATCTGCAGAATTACCAAGATTGCATTCTGAAATTATTGATATTGCTGACCTATGGGCAGGTCAGTGTGCTACAACAGAAACTAATTATCACATGCTATACAGTCCATGTCAAGAGGCTAAAAAGCACTCTAATTCCCAAGTATGGTTTGGTTCCCTTTCCCCCACAGCACTGATATGTTCCATGTTATCTTCAGTTACAATGCAACTAAAGGAAACCACACAACTGAATCAGATATACCAAAGAATCAAGTTTGCACTTTTTATCTGAGAACTGCAACAGCACTGAATTCTGCCTGACAAATTACAGCTCTAAACCCAAACCCACACAGTTTTGATAAGCTAGCTTTACCATACAAGTGTTAGGTGCTGCACTGTTATTTCATTGTCAGAAGTGTGATGTCAGAATGCCCACGGAATAAAAGTACATAGCAAGTCACCAAGTTAGATTATATTGCTTGTTACCTACCTGTATGCAGTCGGCAATGAGAATCTTGGAGCAAGCAGGAATACTACATCCGGGTCCTAATGTCCATTGCCATTTGCGGTACTACGTTCCTCACAGTTACGCACTGCAGAAATGCTGGCTAAATGCAGTTATGTAGCAGGCCACTACTTTAATAGTGCATAATTGCAGTCCAAGAACACCAGAAAACATTCCGCCAAAACGTAGTGGCTTGCCCAAGAAAAGCCAAATATCTAAATTTTTATCTGCCATAATATGCCACTTATAAAATTTGCACAGGCGTAACATTACAATTTCCCAAATTATAATGTTTATATTAATGGTATAATACATCTATAAAGAGTGGTGGGGTTTGTAGTACTTCTTAAGGAGTTCAATTCGTGTTCTAAGCAAAGAAGGATTGTGATTTCACTAAATAACATGAGCCAATGGGTTAAGTTTATAAGATACCTATTAAACACACTGGGGTCTCTTAGAGAATGCAGTTTTTAAAGATTAGGAATAGTAAGTTTAAAAATGATCAGTATTCCTCTTAAAACAAAATTATGAAAGAAAGTGAAGAAGAGGAAAATGGGGGCAGGTGATTTCTTCAAATGAGAAAAATGGCTAAATACTTCGAAACTACTACCTTCCCTTTCCCACCCCAAGTTTCATATCAGCTTTTAGGCAACTAATTTTTAAGATGACTTAAATTCACATTAGGCTAAAAACTATCATATACATTACAAGACTTACAAAAAGTCTATTTGAGTACCTTACAACCCTTGGTACACTGCTATTTCAGTGATAAAAGTAAAAAAAACTTAGTTGAAACTAAGCAAGATTATTCGCTAAACAACGTTTAGCAATTCTACAGCCCACAGTAGGCTATCAAAACCACAACTTCCAGCAGATTATCCATTAGCATCCTTCACCACTCTTCAAAGGTACAGTACTACCAAAAGCTTATTTTAGGGGTCTGTGCCAGCATCCCTTATAAAGAAAGGCATGTAATCTGAAAAATAAACTGAAACATTAATTTTATAGGCAGATTTTCCCATTTTCCCACCAGCCCCCACCCACACACATACAAGTTCACCCTCCATGGGTGTCCCATGAACACCCCTTATTTTATTATTAGTGGAGTCCCTACCACACAATTCAAATTGTAATGGACTCCTTTCAAATAAAGACCCTTGGTTTCCGTACAGAAAAATCTCATACATAGCACCAATTCATAACTTGACTGGGAACAAAACTTCCTTATTAGTATAATTATGGTAAACTACCACCCATTTCCAGGTATCTTGGTGTATAGAAATAATGAACATTTTCTAACAAGATTCCCTTAATTAGCACACCATGTACCTGTCAGTCACACAACCAGAATTGGGTGACATGCCTTTATACTTCACTAGTGTTTTACTTTTAGTATTATCCAGTTTCCCATGCAGAAAGTGTTCAATTGTTTCAACAATAGAGTTCCCTTTGTACTCAGGCACAATACTAAACTTCAGCATTTTAACAAAGACTTGATTTAGAATTTTACTTTTGCCAATTAGCACCAAGAACAGAAGTGAAAAGGAGGAAAGACACATTCCATAGTAAGAGTTCTATAATGTACAAATTTGAATGGAACCATAACTAAGAACAAAGCCAAACCATTCAATTACTTTACCTACTTTTAGGAAGCTGTTCCCTCTGCTAACATATACACTGGGAAAGCAGGTTTCCACTGTTGTACTAACATGCAACAGTAACAATGTACTTTAATATCAAGACAAAATATCTTATTCTAATGCAGCGGTTCTCAACCTGTGGGTTGTGACCCCTTTGGGGGTCGAACAACCCTTTCATAGGGGTCGCCTAAGACGTAACAGTAGCAAAATTACAGTTATGAAGTAGCAACAAAAATAATTTTATGGTTGGGGGTCACCACAACATGAGGAACTGTGTTAAAGGGTCACGGCATTATGAAGGTTGAGAACCACTGTTAATGGAAGGAGATTCAATGAAGTTGACAATAAACTGACAACAGCATCGAAACACTCCAAAGCTTTATGGTGGGAGGGATATTTATATTTGCACTGTGGAGCATGAACAACTATCTCCAGATTTAGTGCCATATCAAAAGGAAACTATGGAAAAACAGATTAACAAATATTTTACAATAAAAAATGGCTATCTGCAACCCTGTGTGTCAAGTCACCACTAATTCTTAGAAGAGAGCAAGTAGATTTTTATAGTCCTACAGACTTTGCCCAACGAAGTAGCATAAGATGTGAAAGTTTCAGAGTACAAATGTATGTATAGCTACACCTACTTAGTGGTTACTATACTTCTTACTTTCAAGTTGAAATTTTCAGACTAAACCCCATCTGTATAAATCGCTTAAAGTAATACATGAAAAGACTTCATGTTTAACAATCTTTAATTCAAATGTGAAAGTTCAATACAAGCCATTTGTAGGGCTTGGGACTTTTTCTTTTAAAAACAAAAATGGAGGAATGCAACAAAATGATCTTTCCACTTTTTCTTCAGAAACTTTCAAGGAAAGGATAGATCATAGGGCCATAAAAGATCCATTTAGTCATACCCACTTTCTCCCCCTACCAATACTCTTACACCCATTCCATAATCTTAAATCACATTCCTGAATGAAGATTACAGGTCAGCTTTACTTATATAACCATTTAAAAAGTACTTAGCACCGCTTGCTTCCTATAATGCCAAACAAATCAAATCATAAATCTACTTCAATATGCATTTCTTCTTTTTAAAACAAGGGGGTACTTATCTGTAGAAAGTAATTAAGCCTACAAATACATTTCCCAGAAATGGCACATGCCATTTGAAGGTCTACACTCTCTCATGCTTTCAAAGTGGAATACCTAGCCTAATGTGCATAGAAGCATGAATGGCAAAGTTGAAGATCAATATTATAACTATTTTATCTATTTATTTGAAGCACAGTAAAAAAAAATGGTACACTTTGGAAATTCAGTGGCACAAGGTACACTGCCATAACTTGAGGGACATTATACAGTTTAAAAAAAAAAAGGAAATAAAAAGGAAAAAAAATTCCTGTTTCAAAACACTGCATTACATAATTTTACCTGCCCAAACAGACCATTTACAAATATTAGGTCAATAAACTGCTAACATCCATAAAAAGGTAGCTTTCTTACTAAAATGCAAGAATTTAAAAGATTGGTATCTAAACAAGAAAAGACAAAAACAAACTGGAATGAAAGCCTAGATATCACATCTAAAATCGGGGTTTTTTGTTTGGGCCTTCATACTCTTCTCTCCCTCTACCATATCCTGCTGGAGTCCCAGGCCCCATTCCTCTAGGACCCTGTCCACCCACAGGTCCCGCACCTCCCTGCCCAAAGCGCTCAGTACGCTATTGGAACAGTAATTAACAGTTCATTATATGTAGTTGATGTCCATGTGTGTTAAGTAAATATTTTAGAAGGTTCCGTAGTCAACGTTCGTCGATACAATCACCAATGAGTCGATCCACAGGTACCGGGAACATAGAAAGGAAAAAAGGGTAATTTGAAAATTAGTTTACGATAATACATGCCTTGCGGTATGTTCCCACTTGAGCCATTCTCATACACCTGTTTCAAAGAATAGATCTTCCCTGTAGTGCTAAAAAATTTAAGAATTAGTGTAGATGTGAAAACCCATTCCAAATGAGTTTAAGAAATTTCACATCAGAATAACCCACTGAAAAAAGCTTGCAAACTTCTCACTTTCAAAGTCTGAACAGGAAAATCAATTTCCAAGTAAGCCTCTAACAAGCCCAACTAGACAGATTCAATTCACTCAATGAAGTGACAAAGGGCCTACTCACCAGTTAGTGGCATGTGCTGCATAAGTAACCTTGTGCTTTTCAAGATCTCAAGACACATCTGCTAAGTTGCAGAAATCTTAAAAGGTTCAAAGTTTTAATAAAATGCTACCAGACTACAAAAAAAAGCATAAAAGACTAATAGATTTAGTCACTTAACCGGCACAGTAACTTGATTAAAAAAACATGTGTTGCCATATTCTCACAGGTATACCACCTTCAGAGCCATCACTATATAACCAGAAACAGTTATGTTTACAGTACTATCCTGTATTATTGCAAATTGACTGAATATATAGCCCACCCCCATAACACCCAACATTTCCCTTAGGTCTTTGAAAAGTCCACTAGCACTTAGCTATTCCATGGTTTGGGTATCTCCCAAACAGCCCAACACCAAGCTTAAGTAACTGCAGTAAAGCAGAAGTTTATTATTCCATCTAGTTTTAGGTACTTCTAAGTCTTAGAAAGCTATGTACCCAAAATGAAAAACCCTATAGATATGCAAGCACAGCAGCCTAAACTATCTTTCAAATTCCATCAAAAATAGATCAGTTACTAAGTATTACTCCAAAAATAAAAAACAACAACAAAAAAAAACATAAAACGAAAATGGCATCAGGGTTTAACTGTTTCCTTACATTGTAATTTCAACGTTTCTTACAAAATACTCTAGGGCTACTTGAAAAAACTAAATCTCGATCTTTTAAACTTTTTCAAAATCCTAAAAATTTTAGGGTTTTAGCACACTGTACTGTACATTTCAAAAAGCTAAAAAGGAAAATTTGTAGGTTTCACAATTATGTCATTACAATATCTTAGAACCCAGAGGAGCTACCTGTTACATGGAATAAGAAACTTAACTGTGGGAACATCACATGAAGTTACATTTTAACAAATTTGCTTCCATACCTAAAACCTGCCTTTTAGGAAGCCCATAGGCCAAGATGTTTACCCACATTATTTTTAAAATTTAATTTGAAGAAAGCTAATAGCACTACATTTACCCCACCAACTATTTACAGTTCTAATTCCCAAAAAGCCAGAAGTGGATTTTAAATAGGTGAGGTCCCACACTAAATCCTTATGTTCCTATTTGTAAAATAAACCTAGTGAGTTACATACTACAGCTTCCTTCCTTTGCCAAAATCCTGTAGGTGAACTAAATCAGATTCAATTCAGTTGTAAAAATGTACTTTTCTCTAAACCCATTTCTAGAGCCAATATTCAGTTCTTCCTAAGGATTTGTAAAGCCCTAAGTACAGCCACTCAGACCAATTCACTTGGTTGTTCTGAAGCATTCGGATAAGCTATCTGCACAGCTAAAATATGATAGCATCAAGAAGGTTCAGATCAAATGCACACAACTAGTATGCTTAAAATTATCGATTTCTTTTGCTACTCTGTAGCAAAACAGAGATGTCAGTTTATTTTAGAAGGTGTACCTATAGACAGCCCAACAGGAGGGAAACGACGAGTCAAAACATTAAACAATTCCCTTTTCATGGATAGAAGCCACACCAAATATAGGCCAAAGTCCTACACATCACTAAAACATGCCTAGAAGCTGCAAACTACAAGTCTAATCCATATTTATGGCAAATACCAGCTGAATGAACAACAGTTTGCCATTTGATTACTCTCACTTGGATGTAGAATAATCAGGTACATTATCTAACATTTAGAATTTGGATTTGCCATGCGATGGAGTGCAAAAGTACACAAGCAATATAATGGAAAGCACCTAAGTCTACTTATTGCCAAAGATAACTCCAACATACTACTAACAGCATTGACTTCCCGTTGGCAACCGTATCTGTTTAGGTCACCACACACTGAGTTCTTCTATGTTGCCAAAGTATTCCTCAATATTACGATTTACATGATAGGGGAACTAAAAGAAGTCCAGTCACCTACTTTAAAAAAAAAAAAAACACACACACACGTAAGTTGTAAAAATGAGAATTTCCTGTGTACTACCTCCCACAGGATACATTACCATGTCGCTTCCCATCATGGAACCACTCATGGTTGCTGGTGGAACTCCAGGATTAGCTTCATAACCTATGCCACCACCACCTCCTAAAGGTGGAAATTTCTGGCCTCCTGAACCATAGGGATCTAGGAAACAAAAACGCCAGTTACAACTCAACCAGAATATTGCTCTCTAATGATACTGCTAATTTAATTCTCATGCTTACCTCCCATGTTCATTGCTCCTCCTCCACCCATTCTCATGTCTCTTTCTCTCTGAAAGAAAAAACAATCTTTTGTGCATCTGTACTATACCTATACCATTTTTGACAAAAGAAAAAATCCCCAAACTTATTTTAACTTAAAAAAAAAAAAAGATTCATTAAGGCAATTTTATTTTGTTTGTTTTTTGTTTTTATCCTCAACCAAGGACATTTTTCCATTTTTTGTTCAGATAGAGTGGGGAGGGAGGGAGGGAGGGAGGGGGAGAGGGAGAGAGAGAGAGAGAGACATCAAGGGAGGGAGGGAGAAGGAGAGGGAGAGGGAGAGAGAGAGAGAGAGAGACATCGAGGACGTGGAAGGGACACATCAAGTGGTTGCCACCCGCACGACCCAACCAGGGCCAGGGACAATCTGCAACCAAGGTACATGCCCTTAGCGGGAACCAAACCTAGGTCTCTCTGGACCTTAAGCCGACACTCTACCAGCTGAGCCAAACCGGCCAGGGCCATTAAGGCAATTTTAAAAAATAAATTCTGAAACCAGTTATATTGAGACTCCATTATCAAAAGACCTTAAAGCTTCTTCCCAAACAAAAAATCTTTGGCCTACCAAGAAAAGAAAAACTCTAAGGTATATCAATCATAATACACGTTTAAAAAGAAGTAGTTATAATGTAATATGTTATTTTTAACTCCAATTAGATTGCATAAGTTTACTTACTGGATCCATGTAGCCCATTCGGCTATAACTTTCCTCTCTTTGGCGTCTCATTTGCTCTTCCATCTCACGCTGACGAATCATCATCTCTTCTTCCCTTCTACGACGTTCTTCCTCTTGCCTAGAAATATTCATCAAACACATAAACCAAAGTGTTATCGACGACATCTTTTCAAATTCAATTTAAAAAAAGATAATAGTTTGTCTAGCAGCTTTACAAAGACTAGGTTAAAGCCAGAACATGAGTATAGAATAACCCTAGAGGCATTCTGGCAAAGAGTAGAAACATTACAGTACTTACTGACAATCTTATACACAATTCCAATTTAAATGCTATACCAACACTGACTCTCTATACTTCATTTGACTGTACAGCAAAATTTAGGTTCATCTTTCCTCTAAATATTAATGCAGAAGCAAAAGCTTAATTTAACAAGCCTTGGCTAGTGTGGCTCAGATGATAGAGCGTTGTCTCATGCACCAAAAGGTCACCAGTTGATTACAGGTCAGGGCACGTGCCTGGCTTGCAGGCTCAATCCCCAGTAAGGGGTGTGCAGGAAGCCGCTGACCAATGTTTCTCTCCCTCTCCTCTTCTCTCTCGAAAATCAGTAATAACATATTTTTTTAAAAGATAAGAAAATAAAGACTGAATTTAACAAATTTTTACCTTAATTGCATTTCTTTACGTTTCTGCATTTCTTGATTGTGAAGTTCTTCCATGCGTCTTAATTCTTCCTGGCGTCGCATTAGATCTGAACATTGGAAAATTGTTTTGGATTAAGATTAATGAGATTTGTCAAACCCAAAAATCAATTAATCCTATCAGCAACCTTCAGAGGGTCTTTTACCTTGACGCAAGAGATTTGCCTGATGTTCATGATATGCATCTTCCATTTCACTTTCCAATTTGTCTTTTGCATCTTTCATGTTTTTTTCAACTTGTTCCCTTTGCTGTTTCTCCATTTCATCCAAGGACTTCCATCTCTGAGAATATTCATACTCAAATGTGCCATGCTGGGCAAAACGAGGAGGGGTTTCTCTCTCCCTGACAATATTTAAACATGAATCAATTTGGGGACGCAAACAAGAAATTATTACCTCACTCCCCTAAAAACACGGGTCTTTCCCCCTGGCCTATCACTTGTAAGGAACACCAAAGGGCAAAGACCACTTATGTTCATATAAAATACTTCATAGCAAAAACAATAGAAGTTCTAGAATAATACGTGAATGACATAATATCAGAAAACACAGGCACTGGAGATAAATTCTATCTTCCTTATTTCCTCTAGCCAAATTCCTACTCAAGGAAAATGTTCCCATCCTTAAAAACAAGGATACTTACACCATGCAATTGTTTAAGAACAAGACAAGATTGTATGTGAAATACCTACTTCAGAAAGGAAAACAAGGCATTTGAATTACTGCTTCAAAACCTCAAACTTTCTGGGCCTGAAGTTTTTATTAAGCATATTCATTTAAAAGAATTTTGCATATTTTAAACAAAACTGAATAATCATCAGAACAAGTTCTCCCTTACACTTAAAAACTGCCCAAAAAAGTAATCAATCTTACTTTTGATACATTGGATTCTTCTGTGCAAGTTTTTCAGGAAGACCGTCTTCATCATCTAATTGTTCAAGTGGTTCCACAATGACTGGACGAGGTGTTCTAGTAACAAAAAGGGTTCCATCTTATTTTCCAGTTTTACTGCAACTTCCTCATAGAAGTTAATATACAGAAATTGTTAAAATAAGCCAAAGAACTTACGTCGTCAGTAAGAAAACGCCTTCACTGCATCTTTCAAATGCTTTTCTTGCTGCTGGTTTAGAAGCAAATTCAACAATGCCTTTCCCTGTAGATCTTCCACGATCATCGACAATTACAACAGCCCTTTCAATAGGACCAAACTGGCTAAAGGCTTCTTCCAACAGTTCATTGGAAACATAAGGTGAAAGATTTCGAACAGAAAGCGCAGCAGCATGTGTGGCAAAACGAACCCGAAGTTGTCTACCTCTCATGGGTGTATCATCAAGTTCAGCTTTGGCAATTTCAGCCAATGCCCTAGATTCCTGAAAAGTTATCAGACATACTCATGTTAATGACCTAAAAAAATGCCTAATGCCCACTCTAAAAGTCACAAGCCTAATTTCCATTCCTATTCTTCCTAGCTCAAAGAATCTTCAGGCAGCCAACCCTGACAACCATTCACAGTAGTTAAAAATTGGCTTAATGCGCCCTGGCCAGTTTGTCTCAGCGGTTAGAGCGTCGGACTGACATCTGGAGTAGACCTACCTACGTTCGGATCCCACTAAGGGCACGTACCTCGGTTGCAGTTTGTCCCCGGCCCTGGTTGGGTCGTTTGGGTGGCAACCACTCAATGTGTCCCTTTCACGTTGATGTTTCTCTCTCTCTCCCCCCCTCTATCTGAACAAAATATTGAAAAATGTCCTCGGGTGAGGATTTAAAAAAAAAAAAAAATGGCTTAATGCCCTGGCTGGTTTGGCTCAGCAATTAGAGCGTCGCCTGCGGGCAAGAGTCTCGGGTTCAATTCTGGCCAAGGGTATGTACTCCACTTGTTGTTCCTCCGTAACAGTCGATTTATCTCTCTCCCTCCCATCTTGAAGATAAATGTAAAAAAACCATCAGGTGAGGATTTTTTTTCATCCTCACCCGAGGACATTTTTCCATTTTTTTGTTCAGATAGAGCGGGAGGAAGAGAGAGAGAGAAACATCGACGTGAAAGGGACAGATCGAGTGGCTGCCACCCACACGACCAACCAGAGCCGGGGACAAACTGCAACCGAAGTGCGTGCCCTTAGCAGGAACCGACCACGGGTCTCCCTGGACCGCAGGCTGACGCTCTAACCGCTGAGCTAAAACGGCCAGGGCCGGGTGAGGATTTTTTTTAAAAAAAGCCTTACCCACCCAACTCCCCTTGTTTCTTTCTTTCTTTTTTTTAATCCTCACCCGAGGACATTTTTCCATTTTTTGTACAGAGTGGGAGGGAGAGAGAGGAAGAGAGAGTGAAACATCGACGTGAAAGGACACATCGAGTGGCTGCCACCCGCACGACCAACCAGGGCCGGGGACAAACTGCAACCGAAGTATATGCCCTTAGCGGGAACCGAACCCAGGTCTCTCCGGACCGCAGGCCAGACGCTCCAACCGCTGAGCCAAACAGGCCAGGGCTCCCCTTGTTTCTTAGATTCCAACAATTATACACTATACATCAGTTGCACCTTATCTGCATTAATAATAAATATTCTACTTTATTATTTTTTTATCCTCACCTGTGGATATATTTTTTACTTTTAGAGAGAGAGAAAGTAAGAGAGCACAGAACGTGGATGTGAAAAATGGCATTCCCTGTACACTGCCCCTTCCAGAATCCAACCCACAACCTTTTGGTGTACAAGACCACACTCCAACCAAGTGACCCGGCCAGAGCAAAATAATTTTAAGACCAGTTAAAAATGTTAAAGGCCAATTAAAACCAGTACATTTGTAGTAGCAAAAAAAGGAACCCTTTTAATTAGTTATATATAAAAACCCAACAAACTCACAAGCTTAATAAATCCGAATCCTTTGCCTTTGTTGATAAAAACTTCTCCTGGTTCTCCATATTTAGCAAACAGTCTTTTGAATTCCTCCTCTGTAATATCAGCAGGTAGATTCCCAACAAACAACCGACAGCGCTGAGTGTAAGTTTTCTCTCCAGGTCTCCTCAAGAGAGACAAGTTGGCTTTAAACCCCTAATGAAAAAGGAAGGGAATTTTCAGACACCAATGAATTCTGCAAGCCGAAAAACCTACTAATGTTTGCTTGTCCCAAAATGGATGTTACCAATCGGGTTGCTCTTCTGTTCTGTTTAAAGTCAAAGCAAGGTCCTACTAGTGGGATTTCCCAAGTAATCACTACTCTAACATCAAACAGCTCAAATCATTCAAAATACTAGATAACTGACACTTACACCTCTGTACAGAATAGACTATTATTAGCAACCGCGTCATCGCTACGTGCCGAGTGTCCCTGATTAATCTAAATCGTTAACAGAAGTTAAAATGGTGGTCAAGAATTAAATGAAAAGGACATGCCTTAGGCCTGCTATTTTCTGACCGGAACTCCCTCGATCTCTCGAACTCTGCACCTCACGGTGTACTCTACTCTGGCTCCCAGGATTTCCCAGCTTTAACAGGACCCATCACAGCTTTTTGTCGCCTCTTTCCTCAAGCCACCCTCCCTGGGTCTTCTGGCAGCCGTCAAGCCAACCCCGAAGCTGGCTAGCGACCCACACCGTCGGCCCTCACTCGCACGGAGAGCCCCGCCCTCCGCCAATAACGCGCAGGCGCCCTTCCGGTCTTCAACAAAATGGAGGCCGGGAGGCCGGGAGGGGGGAGGGAGGGAGGGGGGAGGGAGGGAGGGGAACAAGGAGGGGGCAGCGGCCATCTTAGGGAATCCGACGCGTAGCTCCGAGAAACACTCACCTCCGAGTCGGAGATTTTTTCTTCGCTGCGGCCACCAGGCCCGCCAGGCCCACCGGGAGGGGGACCCTGGTGGTGCTGCTGGTGGTACGGTGGGTGGTGCTGCCGTCCTCCGCGGGGCTCCACGCCTCCTCGGTGCGGCGGCTTGGGATGGCCACCAGGAGTGCTTAGGCCCGGGCCACCACCGGGCTTCGGCCCGCCTGGCATTTTGCCGCCTTTGGGGCCGCCTGGTCCTGGGCCCTGCTTAGGCCCGGGGACCGGGCCCCCTGCGGGTGGAGGCGGCGGACCCCCAGCAGCCTGAGGTGGGGTGGTGGAGACCCCGCTGCTCGGCGGTGCAGGCTGGGGCGCCCCGGAGGGAGCTGAGGTGACAGCGGGCGGCGGGGTCGGGATAGGGCCGGGCCCCGTGGTGGTCCCGGAGGTCGGGGGAGTGGCGGGCGGCGCCGAGCCGGAGGCCGGCGGAGTGCTGCCTACCCCAGGAGCCGAGCCGGGTCCCTGAGGAACGGCGGGCTTGGACGAGTCCTGCGGTGGTGGCGGTTGCTGATGCGGTGGCGGCTGCTGATGCGGTGGCGGCTGCTGATGTGGCGGCTGAAGCGGCGGCGGCTGCTGTGGTGGCGGCTGCTGCGGCGGCGGTTGCTGCTGCTGCTGTTGGTGTGGAGGCGGTGGTGGGATCGGGGGTTTCGGGCCACCTTGGCCCGGGCCGGGACCCATGGGTCCGCGGTTCTGATTGAGGCCCATGCCGGGCGGCGGGGAGCGGAAGTCGTGGAGGCCACCTCGGCCGCCACCTCCTCCGCGCCGGTGGAAGCCGCCACCGCCACCGCCGCGGCTCCGGAACCGATCCCGAGACATGTCTGTAATCAAGGGGCGGTCGAGACAGAAGCGGAGAAGACGTTTAGGAAACGTGGAGGCCACCTTGCTTCGCACAAGATGGCGGATGACACAGGCTGCGCGCCGCCTTTGTCCTCTTCTTATATAGCCCAGCTGACATGGCCCCGCCTACTCCTTGATCGGTAGCTCCAATAGCCAATTGCAAGTGCCGCACTTGATGACACTATTTTACGAAGCGCTAATCTTTTCTATTGGCTCCTAGGTAAGAGGCGGGAGGAATGAGTAGCTGAAGTTCCCAGTTGGCCAATCAGCGGGAAAGGAGTTGGCTGTAGGCCACTGTAATTTGCTGGGAGAAATTTGAATGGATTCGCCAGTACAATTTTCTCATGAAAGCTAATAGCAAGGGCTCTATCAGCTCTGAAGGAGAGATGGATGATAAGGGGCCCTTTGCTTTCTTGATTGCCCGGGAGCAGTCTGCTGTTATCCTTGCTCAGAAAGAATGTTCTCTGGTTCAAAAGCAGAAATTAAGTGCCTGCTATCTACTCTACCTTGTGTTGAGCCAATGAAATAAGAGAAATAAATTCCTACTGATTTCACATACGATCATACTGATTTCATTTCAGAAGCTCATTGGAGTACTGGTTTGACTAGCAGTATAAATTTCACAATAGGCTTGAGTACATTCTTTGTGTGTGTTTTTTTTGTTTTTTTTTTAAAAGCCCTTGATTTTGTGTATGTATGGACAAATAATTTACAAACAAATAATGGGGATTATAACATTTTTCAAATTTTCACTACCACTCAACACTTTATGAACAGATTAAGGTATTTTAAATATTTTTTCTTTATTGATTTTAGAAAGAGAGGGAGAAACATTGATAAGAGAGAACATCTATCAGCGACCTCCTGCATGCCCCCCACTGGGGATTGGGACCACAACCTGGGCATGTGCCTTGACTGAGAATCCAACTAGTGACCTCTTGGTGCCTAGTTCCATACTCAACCACTGAGCCATACCTGCTAGGCAAGATTCAGATACTTTAAAATTACTATATTAAAATACCTATATAGCCCTGGCCGGTTTGGCTCAGCGGTTAGAGCTTCGGCCTGCGGTCCAGAGAGACCCGGTTCCGTTCCCGCTAAGGGCACGTACCTCAGTTGCAGTTTGTTCCCGGCCCTGGTCGGTCGTGCGGGTGGCAGCCACTCGATGTGTTCCTTTCACATCGATGTTTCTCTCTCTCTCTCTGTTCCTCTCTCTCCCTCCCACTCTACCTGAACAAAAAATGGAAAAATGTCCTCGGGTGAGGATAAAAATAAATAAATAAATAAATAAACAAATAAATAAATAAAATAAAATAGCTATATAGAATCAACCAATGGGCGGTATCCACTTCATAATCTGCAACTTCTGCCCAGCAGGTGTAGCTCAGTGGACCAAGAGGTCACCGGTTCAATTCCTAGTCAGGGCACATGCTGGGGCTGCAGGCTCGATCCCCAGTGGGGGACGTGCAGGAGGCAGCTGATCCATGTGTCTCTATCATCAATGTTTCTATCTCTCTCTCCCTCTTCCTTTCTCTCTCTCTAAAAATCAGTAAAAATATATTTTTTAAAAATCTCCAACTTCTTTGAAGTGTACTAGCCATATTCCTTAATACCCCTTCTAGTACTGTCATCAAAGGAACTTTTTGTGGATCATTCCTCCCTCAATTAATATTAGCTCATGGCTTATTGTCTTCCTTTCCACCTCTATTTCTGTTCATCATCCAACATCTATGTGGATGACCACCCAATACTCTGCTAATTCTTTACCTCCTCACCTCCAACAATCTTTCCTTCCATCCTATATCAGCTGCTCCAGCCTCATGACTGCCTCACAGATCATTCTGTTTATTTCCAGTAAGTAGTCCATATTTAATATCTCTGTTTCAAGAATCCCAACTGTTTGATCATAGTAACTGATTCTTTTACTTCATCAAAACCTCCAAACTATTAAATGTGTTACTTTTTCACTATCTCTCACATTCCTTTTTTTTTTTTACTGTAATTTTTTTAATTGATTTCAGAAAGAGGCAGAGAGAGAGAGAGAGAAAAACAAACATCCACATGAAACTCCCGAACCAACTGGAGATCAAACCTGCAACCTCCAAGTGCACAGGACAATGCTCCAACCAACTGAGCCTCACCAGCCAGGGTTCTCTCACATTCTTCTGTTCATAACTTATGTCACACAGTTTAGATGTTAAGATTGCCTACAATCACATACAACTCTTGTTTCCCTCCTCCATTATGCTCACCTCACCTGGTAAAACAATTTACCTTTTTTAACAAAGGTGAGGCTTTCACTTTATTTATTTATTTATTTATTTATTTATTTATTTTTTAATTTTTAATTTTTATTTTTTATCCTCACCCGAAGACATTTTTTTGTTCAGACAGAGTGGGAGGGAGGGAGAGAGAGAGAGAGAGAGAGAGAGAGAGAGAGAGAGAGAGAGAGAAAGAGAGAGAGAGAGAGAGAGATAGAGAGAGAGAAAGAGAAACATCAATGTGAAAGGGACACATCGAGTGGCCACCACCCACACGACCAACCAGGGCCGGGGACAAACTGCAACTGAGGTACATGCCCTTAGCAGGAACCGTACCCAGGTCTCTCTGGACCACAGGCCAATGCTCTAACCGCTGAGTCAAACTGGCCAGGGCTATTTATTTTTTTAAATGATCATTTTATTTTTTATTTTTTTATCCTCACCTGAGGATATTTTTTTTGTTTTTTGTTCAGATAGAGTGGGAGGGAGAGAGAGGAAGAGAGAAAAAGAGAGAAAAAGAGAGAAACATCGACGTGAAAGGGACACATCGAGTGGCTGCCACCCACACGACCCAACCAGGGCCAGGGACAAACTGCAACCAAGGTACATGCCCTTAGCGGGAACTGAACCCGGGTCTCTCTGGAACGCAGGCCAACGATCTAACCACTGAGAAAAACGGCCAGGGCTCATTTTATTTTATTGTTTAATCCTCACCTGAGAATATTTTTATATTTATCTTCTGATAGAATAGGAGGAAGGGAGGGAGAGAGAGAGAAACATCGATGTGAAAGAAATACATCAACTGGTTGCCTCCCAAACGACCCCAACTAGGGCCAGGGATGAACCAAAACAGAGGTACATGCCCTTGACCAGAATCGAACACGTGACTCATTGGTCCGTGGACCAACGCTCTAACTGCTGAGCCAAACAGGCCAGGGCGAGGCTTTTACTTTAAATTCTTGACCACAAGCCTCAAAAGTGCATTAGACTTTTCCTGGCACTCTTACTGAATTTCCCTAGAAAGTTCACTTTCCCACTCCCAGAGATAGTGTATTTCATGTCTTCTCTGATTAAACTTCTACATTTCTCTCACTTCACCATACATAACCAATGATTTCCCATATTTGAGAAAATAAAAATCATCAGAGAGGAACATTCTCATCCAACTGGAAAGCCATGAGCCTACTTGATTTGTACTGTGAGGGTGCAAAAATTAACTTTTCTCCCACCTTCTAAATTATTTTAGCTGGACTAGTAATCCATTTAACATGAAACAGATTAACAGGAGAAAATGTCCAAAATGTATTATAGATGTATGTTTTGGGGTTTCATAAGATATGAGACCCAAAGATGCCCTGGGCAGTTGAGGTTTATATGCTATTTTGAACAAGGAAGAAGGGAGCAGGGGTCTGAGATTTCAAATAAAAGGTAAGTAAATCATAGGTAGACAAATCTAACGTAAAATTCTTGCTGGGCCAACCAAAAACCATGGGACATAAAAGGAACTTCAACTAACAGGCTTTGCTAGATTTTTCCCTGTCTGCCAAATTTAGTTTAGATTATGATGCTAAAATGATGCTTCCTTCTTTTAAGCAGGTTTTTGTATCTGAAATCCTTTAGGCAGAAAGGGGGTGGGGCAAAGGTTCTTTATAAATATTTAATTTCTTTTTTTTTTTTAAAAAGAAGACATTTTTCCATTTTTGTTCAGATAGAGTAGGAGGGAGGGAGGAAGAGAGAGAGAGAGCAACATCTATATGAAATGGACACATTGAGTGGCCACCTCCCACAGGACCCCAACCAGGGCCAGAACGAATGGCAACCGAGGTAAGTGCCCTTGATCAGAATCAAACCTGCAACTCATTGGTCCACGGGCCAACACTCTAACCACTGAGCCAAACTGGCCGGGGCTAATTTCTTTCTTTGTTTTTTTTTAAATCTCACCCAAGCCTGGCCAGTGTGGCTCAGCAATTGAGCATTGACCCATGCACCAAGAGGTCACCAGTTCAATTCCTGGTCAGGGCACATGGCGAGGTTGTGGGCCCAATTTCCAGTAGGGGGCATGCAGGAAGTGGCCAATCAATGTTCTCTCTCGTGGATGTTTCTATCTCTCTTCCTTCCTCTCTCTCTAAAATCAATTAAAAAAATTTTTTAAATAAATAAATAAATCCTCACCCAAGGATATTTTTCCATTTATCCTCAGATAGAGGGGGAAGGGAAGAGGGAGGAGAAGAGAGTGAGAGAAACCTGATGTGACAGAGACACACTGATTGCCTCCCACACAACCCCCACCAAGGCCAGGACCCAACCGCAACCAAGATACGTGCCCCTGACCAGAATCGAACCCGTGACTCTGGTCCGAAGGCTAATGCTCTATCCACTGAGCAAAACCGACTAGGGCATGAGTCTTTCATTTCTTATCTTTTTTTTTTTTTATCCTCACCCAAGGACATTTTTTGATATTTTGTTCAGATAGAGTGGGAGGGAGAGAGAGAGAGAAACATTGACGTGAAAGGGACACATTGAGTGGTTGCCACCCACACGACCCAACCAGGGCCGGGGACAAACTGCAACGGAGGTACGTGCCCTTAGCGGGAACCGAACCTGGGTCTCTCCAGACCGCAGACCAATGCTCTAACCACTGAGCCAAACCGGCCAGGGCAGTCTTTCATTTCTTAATAACCAGCTTAAAATCATTATTCCAAAAGGCACATTTTGTGGAGGCAAAACTTTGGTCTCCCTCAATACCCATCTTCCTGATACCATGGAAGATGTGTCTTTGCCCCACATCAAAGAGCACCCCCCCCCC